TGCGTCTCGCTGGGAGCTTGCTGGTGCCTGGTGAGACCGAATCCTACTGGTGGAGGAAGCCTCCTGGGAGGAACCCTCCTGCGCACGAATCCCAAGTTCCGACGTCACAGTGCCATATTCTATGTGTGGGTCGGTAGACTTTTTCATTGCTGCACTCATGGCATAGACCTGCAGCAGGACTACACACTGGTCCGCGTGGCGAACCGGAGCGTCAACCATCATTCCACAATATCTGCATTCCTCCTTTTTATGAAGCAGTCTCTTATGTGTGCGCATGTTGGCATAGACTGAGTCTGAGGCCCCTGCCCAGAAAGCCTGGTGCGCTTTCTGAATGTGCTGTTTGACGCCCTTGTGACCGACAATGAACTGCCCACAGAGGCTGCAGTAAGCCCGCAAGTGCTTGGTCACATGAGCCTTTTTGAGAAGCAGGTCAGGGTCTCTTTTCAATTGATCCTGAACACTTGGTTGGAGCAGCAAGGCTGTGCTCTCCGCTCCTGAGCAGGACGATGATCGCTCCCTCAGCTCTGGAAGCTTTGAACATGTTCCCGATTCAACATGTCTGCGAAGCTGATGCATTGTGCGCAGCTGTTTGTGACATGCTGCACATTGCGGGAGTCCCTGCAGACTATGTGCGAAGACTTGGAATTTAGGGCCCAACTGGTTTGCTCTTTGGCCTCCATGCTTCACTAGTGTATGATGCTGCAATCCCTTGTTGCTAGAGAAACTTCTATCACATAGCGAACAGGGCACTGCATGATCTTCTTCGGCCAGAGCCAATTGCATGGATTGAAGTAGCTGCTGTTGGCTAATCAGCCGGCTGCGTAGACCCAGGTACTCTTGGATCGTTTGTAAGTTGCCTGTTGGCTTGGCAGCATCCATCGCATCCTGATAGTTCCTCATTTGCCTGAGAAGAACTTCCTGAGGAGTTTGGATCTTGTGGTGCTCAAACAGCTCTGTGGTTTCCATTCGACTAAAATGCTGATGCTGCTGAAAGATAGATCTGAGCATCCGAGAATATTTGCTCTGGAGCTTTTGCAGTCCCGTGTGGGTGATTCCCGTGGAGACTATGCCATGCAAGAGCGAAGACTCGACATACACTCGCCAGATCTCTAGTTTCTTCGCCTCGTCAAGGGCCTTCGTCGTGCACAAGATACTCCTAAGGAGCTCAAATTTGCCTTGGGCTTGAGAAATCCTGTAGTCTACTGTTTGATCCTTGTAAGCACCATAGCTTAGTTGCACTCCTAGATAGGTCAGCTGATGATGAATCGGAATCTGATGCCCCGAGGGAAGAACCAAATGGAGCTGATTTTTTAATCGTTTGGTGTATTGCTTGCGGAAGAGGGATTGCTGAGTGCCTTGCACCATGAGCAGTGCCTTGGATTTCGCTGGATTGACTTCAAGGCCGACTTCCTCGAGGGATTGAAACAAAGCTTCAAGCCGAGTGAGTACCTGCTGCAGTTCGGCAAAGCTTGTAAAAGTTTCCTGATGGAGAAAATCGTCAGCGAAGACAGTGAGTATATCTCTTGCCTGACTGCTGCCAGGCCCCCACTTCTTCTCCATCCTGTCCATGACTAGCAAGGTTAAGGCAGACCACAATGCAGGAGCTAATTTACATCCCTGTTTTATTCCCGAAGAAGTAGGAACACTGAACTCAAGCCCATTAGTGCCCATGTTGTACGATGTACAGGAGTGGAGTTGTACAACAAAGTCCTTAGTGGTTTGATCTATGTTGAGCTTGTCTAAGGCTTCAAGCAACTCTTGTCTGTTGACAGAGTCAAAGGCTTTGCTCAGATCGACGGAGACTGTTAAGGCCCCTGCCAATGGGAGCCTTCTCTGACCTTGCTGTGCCTTGTGCATATCCCGGCGATGCTCTTGGCGCATTTCCTGCACGAGATCCAAATGCTGACACGCTTTTGCAATGGCATCTCGCACCCCTCGCTTCCGAATATATGCAAACTGCGGCTCAAGCTGTGAGCGCTCTTGCAGTGCCGGTGCTATGCGAGTCTTGACAGCACCTGCAAGCACTTTGCCTGGAACACTTATTACTCCTATGGGCCTCAAGTTCTTCATAGCTGTAGCTGGCTTACCCGGCTTTGGAATCCATGCAATTCTGGGGTCCTTCAAGTACGGTGAGATATCTGACTGAGAAACCTCTGTGTTTATCAGATCAGCGATCTTCACATGAGCCTCAGGCGCTAAGCTCTTCCAGGCCGAGACCGGGGCCGACATGCTGGGAACCGCCTTGCCCACCGGAATTGTTTTTATTTGCTCGGCCACCTGCGAGGCATTGACAGCCTCTCGTGGTCTGGCTGCCACCGGATCCAGGGGAGATCCCTTGGAGAAGATGTGACTCGAATACTCTCGCATCGCACTTGCCGAGGCCTTCGCATCTAGGGGCTCACCTGCTGAATCCCTGAGATTGACCCTTTGAGCAGGTTTCCATGGGGCCAGCTTTCTAAGGGCTTGGGACAGTTTGTGAGACTGCTGTCTCTTGTCCTCTTGGGCTTGAAGAAGGAGCCTCTCCTGCTTTTCAAGTTTTCTTTGCTTCTGCAACTTTTTGAAAGATTGGGCCTCTGTCTTTATGTCGCTGATTAGCTGTTGGCACTCAGGAGACTGCCCATTACCGGATCGCTTGTGCTCCTGAATTTGGCGCACCTTTGTCCAGTAAGCCTGCTGAATGGGCCCTGCAACTGGCTGAGCCTTGCGAGGCGGTGGAAATTGCTCAGCAGTGACTCGAACCATCGTCCTGTCGATCGATTGCCAAGAGTTCTGCTCAGCCACACTCTTGACTACTTCAGCTGTTAGGTGCTTGGAATAAGCCTGCCAGTCTTCATCTTTTCGTCTAAAGCTGGCATCAAGTGCAGTGGCATCAAAGGGCTTTGGTTTGCTTGGGGGAGGACTGTATGGAGGAACAAACAGTTTGGCTCTGACCGGGAAGTGCTTGGAGCCATCCCGGTACGCTGCAACTGGAAAATTCTTATCGGAGGAAGCCTCCTTCGACCGCCTCCGGGCATCCTGCAGTCGAACTAGCAGAAAATCAATTTGAGACTCATATGTGCCATCGCTGTTTGCATAAGTGCTTTTATGGCTGGAGGCCCATGTGTTGAGCGCTGTCAGCCCACAAGATCTGCACAGTTCTGGGAGCGATCTAACATCTGCATTGGCAAATCTGGCTCGGCGAGGCACACTGGGCCCAATGAAAGGACGCTCTGTGACTGCATGTGAGTTGAAATCACCGGCAACAAGCATAAAGTCTCTCAAAGGCACTCTGCGAAGGCGAGTCTCAAGTTGACTCAGCACATCCTTCCTCCGTCGTCTATTGTCCAACTTGGAGAGTTTGGAGTCCCAAACATGCTGATACAGATTGAGTAGATGGATCCTAGACCTCTGCCAAGGAATCATGACATGCTGCAGGTGCCCTGGAATTATGGTGGTGCTGCGAATCTCTGAGAGCTGGGCCACGGATCGATGCACAAGGACAACGAGGCCGGCTTTATGTCTACTCTCAGAGCCACAGGTGAGGACTGACCATGGACCTGAGCTGTAGGTTTGGTCCTGCTGCCAGTGGGATTCTTGCAGCAGCACAAGCTTGATGTTCTGATATTCTGGTGTTGCCAAAATGGCCAGAAGCTCATTCCAAACTCGACTCGTTATTGAACCTGCGTTCCAAGATAAAACCTCAATTTCAAATTTGTGGTGATACTGTCTGATCGGCTGAAAAGATTGCTTCTCTGGCTTCTCAGAGACTGCAAATTGGTCTTCATGGGCTCCTAGAGCCTGAGCGGTCAGAAGTCGGCCTTTGTAAAGTGCTGCTCCCTTCGCCAGGGCAACTTTACAAGCTCTTTGGTAGCTTCGCTTGCCGGTTTTGTTCATGGTTAGCTGACTTCGCTGCGCATGCTGCTCAGCTTCATCGGGGGGCGCTACTTCCCGAAACCCTCGATTCTGATCCATGGCTGGACCCTGGGACTTGGGACCCAGGCACCCAAGAAAGCTCGCTACGGCTACGAGAAATAAAATCCTCATCTTGGGCCAGAATCTTACAACAACAACAACAACAACAACAACAACAACAACAACAACAACAACAACAACAAGAAGAACAACAAGAACAACAAGAACAACAAGAACACCAAGAACACCAAGAACAACAAGAACACAAGAAGAAGAACAACAACGACAACACAACAACGACAACAACAACAACAACAACAACAACAACAACAACAACAACAACAACAACAACAACAACAACAACAACAACAACACACCAACAACAACAACAACAACAACAACAACAACAACAACAACAACAACAACAACAACAACAACAACAACAACAACAACAACAACAACAACAACAACAACAACAACAACAACAAGAAGAAGAAGAAGAACAACAACCACAGCAACAACATCAACAAGAAGAAGAACAACAACCACAGCAACAACATCAACAACAGCAACAACAGCAACAACAACAACAACAACAACAACAACAACAACAACAACAACAACAACAACAACAACAACAACAACAACAACAACAACAACAACAACAACAAGAAGAACAAGAACAAGAACAAGAACAAGAACAAGAACAAGAACAAGAACAAGAACAATAACATCAGCAGCAGCAGCAGCAGCAGCAGCAGCGTCATTCTTATTTCTGCTTACTCTTATTCTTCTTCTTTATCTTCTTCTTCTTATTATTCTTCTTCTTCTGTCAGTCTGACAGTCAGTTGTGCTGCAGCGGAGGTCAGAGGCGTTTTACGAGGCAGACGAGAAGTTCCCCGAGAATGCCCAAGTGGTTGCCACCCGAAACACGGGACTTTGCGCCCGACTATTCGATAGCAGGACTCCGAATGATGTCCTGACGCAGCCGGCCCGCAAGAATGTGCATAATGCATAGCACTTGTACCTGTAATTACTTGTACTAGTTGTAGTAACTGACGAGTTTGCATCGGCTCTGAGGTATTTGAAAGATCTGAACAATCAGTTCCATGCTGGCGGGTCCATCTCTTTCGTGGAATTGGTGGGTGGCGTTGCGGAAGTCGACGAGGCTGTCTGTGCAGTGTCAGTGTCAAGGCACCGCGGTTTGTCTGACGACGTCAATGCTCCGCTGTGCTTGTCGCTGGAGTCAGTGCCTGTAGGCTTGGAGAGCTTTTGCCGATCGGTCACAGATCACATCAAGGAATACGAATTATCATGAAAGCTTCAGCACGTGGTTGCAGCAAAGCGAGTACCAGGAGATGTCAAGGGCTGGTAACTTAGGAGTCGTCTGGTAACGTAGTCACGTAGTCTGTGGTCTGTGTGGTCATGTCGTGTGAAGAGGCTGGCCGCTTTGTTGTGACTTCGTTGTGTGCCAGGAGAAGTACACAGCGTCTTCCTTCAAGGTATCAAGAGCTCTGAGGAACAAGCTGCTGTCTTGGGGCATCCTGACTCAGTTTGAGGACTTCTACGGCGAGTGTGCAGACTTTCTCCACGCTGAATTGCCCAAAGCTGAGAGCATACTTCAGACCATGAACTCGTTTGCCAACTTGTTGGAATCTCGCTTCGCTGGCCAACCATCCAGTCTCATGGGAGCTGTTTTCTTTGAGATCAGCAAGTTCTGCGCTCAGCCCTCAGGTGAAATGTGCGGAGCGCAAAGCCAATCTAATTCCAGATCAGCGTCTGACAACGACATAATTAAGATAAAAGATCGAGGTTCCAGTGCTGAAGAGTGCCAGTGCGGACAACGACGTGCTAGCCGGGCGTCAAGGTGAGTTTTTGTTCAAGAAAGGACCTGATTCATCTGCCGTCACTGAAGCACAGCAGCGTCTGTGCTGTCCAGTAGCCGGAGCTGGGTGTGATTCATTTGTTGCCCGATTGTGTTCACTGAGCTGAGCATAGGTTCGTCCGCAGCTACAGAACTTGTTCATGAGCGCACTCGCTCGTGGGCAAGCGCAACTGCCCGATGGCTGCAACGCCGAAGAGGTTGTGGGGAAGATGATTTCGGAAATCGCGCAGGGCGAGCGGCCCGCCTTGCGGGCGAAAGGGCTTGGCAAAGGCGGGAAGCAGAGCCAGAGCCAGAACGACTCACTTTTGGGTGTGTTACATGATGCCAGCGCTTGCCGAGAGTGCAAAGGATTTGTTCTAGCGAACAACTCGCCGGACGTTCGGAAGCATTCAGCTTATTTGGCCTGCATGAGCAAGCTGCGGTCAGCTTTCTGCACCTGCGTGGATCCAGGCGAAGATGCTGGTTTTACTTCATGCGATTTCCACCATGAATCCACGCACACGATTGCAGACTTCACATGGGGCCTGGCAACATTGATGGAGCAAGAAAGCATCGTGCCTGCATCAGTGCCGGCAGTGGGAGCAGCTGCTGTGCAGCTGGGGATGATCGTGCAAGAAATGGCAGACAAACAGACGGCAGAGGCAGCAGAGAGAGCTGCAAAGGGCGACATTGGCAGCGAGGAGTGTGCCAAAGCAGCAAGGACGCAGGACTGAGTGCCTTGCGCTGTGCATCCAATATAAATAAAATATAAAGTATACAGTCAGTGAGAAGCGCTGCCGCTGACATAGTCATTCAGTCAGTGATTGATGCGGCATGTAGTCATTCGCGCCCCGGTCTGTGACAGGATCCTGTCTTGAGCCACCTGGGGAGGGATGCACGCTTTTTGCTCGTCGAGGGGGAAGAGGCTGAGGCTGGTCCTGGTCAAGGTGCAGGCGCCGGTGCACAGAGTCAACAGCACGCTGTGAATGGCTAAATGGTGGAGACATTGGTCAGCATCCGTGCCAAGTACCTCTTGTCTACCATGCAGTTCTTAATGGTCGTTCCTGAACGGCCGAATGTGCGGAAGCAGTCGGCAAAGTTTGTGACGTTCGAAGACATTACCATGGCCCAGGCGCAGGTGCTGCATGATGTTGTGACTTTCATGTGTCGCAACGAGTTCAAGGAAACCCATGACTACATTGTGGAGCTGGAGTCTCGTTTCATGATGCAGCACCCTGAAGCGGACGTGTTGACGTGGAGCGCCATGTGGTCGAATGTTCTTCAGAAGATCCTTGCCAGCCACAGCAAGCACTGCAAGAACCAGAAAGGTGGTAGTGAGAACAGTAGCAGCGCTGGCAGCGCTGGCAGTGAGACATGCGATTTCAAGAAGCTGCTGCCGCCTCCCAACACAATCGTGCCCAAAACACGATTCCGCGACGGCGCGGCCGACCCAGCGGCAGCGGGAGGTGTCAAGGACGAGCCAGAGTCAAGCGTTCCGGGCCAGGCTCAGGCTGCAGCTGACCCTGATCCAGATCCTGAACCCAAGATCCTGTACTTCACCGAGATTTACACAGCTGGCAGCGGCAACAAGAAGGATGCAGTGCACACATTGGATGTCCTGGCGGTGCAGGCGCAAATCCAGCACACGTTGCTGATGCGAGCGGGGTCCCTTGTTTAATTTAACAGTCCAGTCACGCCAACGTTGTTGTAAGCCCGGCGGTTTAAGACTTTAGACTCTAGACTTTAGACAGACTCTGAATTTTAGATGGCTTGCTGGCTTATCTGGCTTGCTGCCTTTGATCTGAGGCGCCGGTCTTCGCGGGCGCTGCTGGATGTCATTTATTCTGACTCCCGCAGCGCGGCGGTCATCAAGGGGGAGAGTCTGTCCGAAACTCTGGCTGACGCAAGGCTCTTTGCCTTCGGCACGGTCAGTACTGAGCAGGGACCCAAGTCCGTGAAGGCCGGGCGGCTTAGTGGTGAATTGTTGGACACAGTGCACTCTTGCAGCTAATGTTGTGGTAATGTTCATGTAACTAATGTACACCCGGTCTGCCTCAGGTGGGGCATGCCATGTTTGGGACCATGAAGGTGGACTTTTGGCTGGCTGCTGAAGGATTTCAAAAACTTACATCGCTCTGTCCGTGTGCAGTGTGGTTCATGAAGGCTTCTGGCGACGCCAAGAAGGCAATGTTCAGTGGCCAGGACCTGGAGGAAAGAATGGAGTGCTCCGATGCGCCCCTAGGCCAGCACATAGTGGTAGTGGTAGTGAGTGCGAACATTGCCAGGTGACAGTGAGTCAGTCAGTCAGTCAGTCAGCAGTCAGGTGTCAGGTGTGTTTGTTTAGGTTTCTTGCTCAGGCATGGAGGCAAATGCACAGTGATCATGAACTTCCCGTTCGTGTCTTTTCGGAAGGAGGCAACGGTCTGTGTCACGTCTCTGTGCAGTGCTATCAGAATATCAAATGCTAACTTGACTGACCATGGACCATGTATCATGTAACCACTGTAACCGCTGATAGTTGATGAGTTGATGATGACTTGCTGTGGCTGCTTCTGTAGGCGTTGAAAGAGGAGAGGCAGCCGCAGGGGGAGATCTTGTGTACCAGGACGTTCATGCCTTTGGAGAATAAGGCAACGACGGGAGCCAAGAAAACGCAGACATCGCAGCTTCAGATCGGTGGCCATGTGTTCAAGAAGAGCAGCGATGAGCAGGGTGCCAAACAGGAGAAGTCAGCGGAGCTGCTTCTCGCCGTGCAAGGTGTTCAGCCAAAGCATTGCAACCACTTATTGAAATGAGGTAGTCAGGCCGGAATGCATCCGACTGAATTTTGGTAAGAGTAGAGTAGGAGTCAGGAGGCAGGACAGTCACAAAGTGACTCGACTCAGTCGCTGAGACAAACAACCGACTGAGTCAGCTTTTGGCATTTTGGCGAACGCTGGCGAACACTACTACTACTCGTCCTTCTTCATGCTTATTATTTCTTGCTTACAATCCTACAAGCTTACATTATAAGCTGGACGCGCTGTAACACTTCGTCATTCAAGTTCAAGCTCTGTTCGTCACTGTTCGGCCCGGCTGTTCAGATGTTCATTTCCGAACGGTCGTAGGAGTCGTAGGAGTCGTAGCACCGTAGGTTGATGGCCAATATGAAATATGGTTCTAAGTTCAGTTCGGTTCAGTTCTGTTCTGTTATCCGGCAAGTTATCCGGGTAGAGGCCGGGTACAGGCACAGGTACAGTGTGGCACCCTTTATGCTAATATGCTATGGTACGGCCCTTCGGCTGCACAATCTGCTCGGAAGCGAAAGTGTGTGCGCAAAAAAGAATCTCGTTTGCATGCCAAATGCCAAATGCCCAAACCCAAGCCTTTGTTCTTTCGGCCATGTAGCAGCGAGATGCTCAGACTCTCAGATTCTCAGATGCTTTGTTTGATTCTGTTTGACGCAGCCAGGTGCAGAACAACCACAACGATTGCATCGACGATTGCCGATTGCGGCTGTGGTTGTGGCCCATCATCATGCTGCTTTCTGACTCGGAGCTTCGCTGAGCGTCACTGCAAGATTCTAAGCGCAGTATCCACAATTACAACAATTATCCATGCATCCAGTCAACAATCCAGAACTCCAGAACAACCAGCCACAGTCACAGCTGCAGTAGAATCAGTGGGCCAGTGGGTAGAAGTAGAAGTAGAAGGGTAGTAGTGACACACAGCACCGCTCCGCACCGACACAAGACTCACAAGACCCAGACTCAGACTCAGTCTCCGACTCGCCGCCAAGGTGATAAAGTCATGAGTCCATGAGTCGATGAGTCGATGATGAGAGATAGTCCAGATAGTTCACATAATGAGTTTTTCATGATTGACACAAGACAATTTGATTGGCAATTCATAAGAATAACAGATTCATTCTTGGATGATTTGATGACTCTTTGATTCAGAATCTTTGATTCATTGAATTGAATTCGTGTATGAAACAGACAACAACAGAGATATTATGAGACTGATATGACTGATATGAGATATCATTTATCATTCTGATATGATTATTATGATAGTATTCAAAGAAACTCCGAGATGTTCATGAACTGCAAGCATGAAGAAAAGCCCACTGATCATGCAAGTAATCTTGCAGTTATCCCCTTGATTGAGGCCTTGATTCGCTTTGCTTTTAAATGGCTTCAAACATGCTAGTCGCAAAGCTCGCCTATGCCCGGCCTATGCCCCCATCAGCACCACGGGCCCCCCCAGGGTGCGCGGACAGGGTCGGCCCGCCATCCCATTCACAGACCTCACCCCTGCCAACATTCACGAGTGGACCTTCTAAAGCCTTGGCTTTATTTCAGGTCTGCCTTCTGCCATTGCAACATCAGTCAATTAGACAAGCTTGTTGGAAAGCGCAGCCCGCATTGTAGCATGTAGACAGGACGGCAGGGCATGATCGGTCCTGGGTGTGCTAGGCCATGCCCCTTGCGCTGAAGCTGCCTGCAGACACGTGCGGACGTCAGGTCAGCCCAAGAGCAGGCTGACATAGGCTGACTAGAAGCTCGAGGAACACGGCGGCTTGCATGGCCTCAACACTAACATGTCCATCTGCAGCAAGTCTTCCCCCGAATAGCCACAGTGCATGCGAGGTATTGTGAAGGGCGAGCTTCCCCAAGCTGCGCGTCCGTCAGCAGACTGTTGCGATATTCTGAGCAACTTCCTCGCTCAGCCCGGAGGAACGGCTGCCACCAGCGGAGAGAGGCTGAGAGAGGGAATAACGCTGACTTTACAGCACGTCTTTCTGCGTCAGCCTTGCTCTGCGCTGGCATATGGGGGGCACTTCGCGCTACCGTGCGGGAGGAGCGCCTCAGCTTTCTGGGCTCTGGCTTGCAGCCACTGGTGGCAATCGCCCGGCTTTCCATGAATCTTTGGCTGCACAGGCGGCCCATGCGCATGGGCACTCGCATGCCGAAGAGACTACTGTCCAGGCGGCGTCAAGCCCAGGCGGGTCTTCGAGGCTTCCCGACTGGCACGTTAAGCGAGCTCTGCTAAAGCACGAGCCCCGAATTCCGGACTCTCTGCTGCGCCGAAGCCCTGTGGGTGCTGTGACCATGCGTAACGCAAAGTTGTCCCTTCCGCCCGGCCTTCCCGGCTCTTCCGCAAGCGAGGGTTTATGCACAGCTAGCTTACAATGGTGCTTATGGTCAATACAAGCACAGGAGCTTCCTGAAGTCTTCTAGAGTTCTAGAGCTTGCAAGGGTTGTCTGCAATAGACCCACGAGGTTCCTCAGGCCTCCTTGGAGCCAGCATTACCGAGCCAGTTTGGAGGGGATATGTGAGGACAGGCTCAGACAGGCTCACTGGGTGTTATCATGCTGTACACATGGGACTTCGTGCATCGGAGAGACTGCTGCGAGTTGGTGGGTTGCTTTACGGGAAGCATATCCGACCCTGCTGGAATTTGGCAATATGCCATGCTCAGAGGCTTGATGCTATTCGCAACTTGTACCCCAAAAACCAAGCTCAAGTAATCATACAGATTGAGGCTGCGACGTGCACGTGGCTAGGGTCGGATACACTTTTGTGACCATGTCGGACCCTTTCAAGTGGGCTGCCGGAAGACACCATCCCCGACCCTGAGCAAAACGAGGGCATCTACTAACCACATTGCTTAGGGTGGAGGTCTAGAGATGTCGTCAAGCATTCTGGACTTCCACGCCCTTCCGAGCGCCGAGTAAGTCGATTGCTTCTTGGAATCCTTTTGTAGACGAAGATGAAGGAAAGGGGCTTTATTGCAAGAGATTTGGCTCCGTGCGCACCGAAGCCCAAGCTGGCCTCAGCGAGCCACACGGGCGCGGCTTGGAGTCCTGGATACGGTGCAAGCTGTGCTGGCTTGGCCTAGTATGGCCCATGGTGCTGTGCCATCTCTTGATTGGATCCTGCGAAAATCAGTTTCCATTGCTTCGCACTGAAGCATAGCTTGCTCAGCAAGCCCCTCGCCTGGGAATGGTCTGCGTCGTCAGCATTCCTGCGAATGTCGGAAAGATTGCTGACGCCCTGATCATCTGACTGGAGCTGCAGATCACAGTGTCGGTCAGTTGGCATGTATGAAATCGAGTCTGCAGGGCTTGGAGTGGTGGAGATGGCTCGCACTCACTAGGAACCCGGGCAGCAGCTCATATCTGTGCGTTCCTGTGTTGGAGGAAGGTGCGTTGGAAGAAGACTTGCTTGAAAGGTCCTGTCTCTCGAGGTCAAGTGATCTGCTGTCCACACCGAACAAGTTCGGAAGATGGGAACAACGTGCGAAAAAAAAGCCTCAGCACATTTTGGAGCTCAGCTCGACACACATACATCGCAACCTGGGATGGGCTGACTGGCATTGCTGTCGTCGCTCCGATCAACTGAGTGAAGCTGCGGACCAGATCTAGTTTTCTACCTTCAAGCAGAGCTTCATGATCGAGCTGCTCCCGCAACTGAGACCCAACAAGCATGGAGTGCGCTGCTGAGGTGCCACAAGTACCATTGCACGCACACAACGTTGCGCTCCGATCATCTGATCACCGCTTCGGTCAGCTGGCGCCGCTGATGTCTTCAGAAATGCAGCGAAAACCCGACGGAGCCCCTGCTTCTGAGGGCAAAGCGGGATCGAGCCTACAAGCAAAGAGTGCTTCGAGTCATGCTGAGTTCCTGTCTGGCAGGTGCAGAGTTGCGTGAAGGCGGTTGTGCAGGCAAGCGGCACCACATTGAGACGCCCAGAGCACAGGCTCAAAACAGATGCGAGCTTGCACCGCAACACCTTCAACCGCACCCGCAAACGGGAGCTTGACAGGCGCAAGCGGAGGCCAGGACGAGAACGATCAGGGTGCCATAAGCCGGGCCCCGGGCCCGGGCGGGCGCGCAGGCTCGGGCAGCTGGCACGTACGAAATCGAGTCTGCAGGGCTTGGAGTGGTGGAGATGGCTCGCACTCAGTAGGAACCCGGGCAGCAGCTCATATCTGTGCGTTCCTGTGTTGGAGGAAGGTGCGTTGGAACAAGACTTCCAGGTCAAGTGATCTGTTGACCACACCGAACAAGCTCAGAAGGTTGGATCAACGTGCGAAAAAACGCCTCAGCACATGTTGGAGCTCAGCTCGACACACATACATCGCAACTCGCAACCTCTGATGGACTGACTGGCATTGCTGTCGTCGCTCCGATCAACTGAGTGAAGCTGCGGACCAGATCTAGTCTGCTTTCTACCTTCAAGCAGAGCTTCATGATCGAGCTGCTCCCGCAACTGAGACCCCACAGGCATGGAGCGCGCTGCTGAGGTGCCACAAGTACCATTGCACGCACACAACGTTCCCAAGTAGAATAGGCGGACTGCGCTCCGATCATCTGATCACCGCGTCGGTCAGCTGGCGTCAACCGAGTCTGCATGGCTTGGAGTGGTGGAGATGGCCTGCACTCACTAGGAACCCAGGCCGCAGCTCACATCTGTGCGTTCCTGATAACTTGCTTGAAAGTCCTGTCTCTCCAGGTCAAGCGATCTACTGACCACACCGAACAAGCTCAGATCGCAGCGTTGCTCAGTTTGGACCAGTAACTTGGTCTGCATGGTCCGCGCTGTGGGTGATTGAAGCTATCTACCTTCCAGAATGGCTTCGTGATCGAGCTCTGCCAACTGAGCCTTCCCACCAAGCCGAGCAAGCTCGAAAAGTGCGATGACCGTCGCGTGAACACCTCAACACAGGTTGAAAGTCCGTTTCTCGAATCTGGTGAGGCGCTCCAGGATGTACTGACCGGCAGCGCCCGGGCTTTGAGTATCTGGGAA